TGGCCCCTAAGTCCATGTACCAAGCTGGATCAGTTGGAGTCACGGTTGTAGCCAGAGCAGTAGGTGAAACATGTTGATAATGATGATTAGTGGTTGAGCCAGTAGTTGCAAAATAAGCTTGAGCATCTGATCTTGTTGTTTGTTGACTAGGAACACTAAAACCAGTAAATTGAGCTGGATTAGTGGTGTCATGTATCTGCGGACCAGATATACCAAAATTTGAAGACTGAAAGTGTGACTGGTAACCAGGAATGTTCTGAGGACTAACACCAATTGAATGTGAAACATTTGCAAGGAAAGGTATGTTCTATCCACCAGGATGAGGAAAGCCATTATAATGTGATTGAGCATCGCCTTTAGGTGAAAAAGAACCAGTATAGGTTGCATTGAACCTATGATAACACTAAATAGCAGAGTGCCTTGTTTTATTGCAGACTTGACAGATCAGTCTATTTCTTCCATTGCCTCTTCCTCTGCCACGACCATACACCACAGAACCATGAGGTCGAGTATTAACTATACTATTGTCATACGATATATATGAAGGTGAGGTTGGAATAGTGTAGGTTTGAGGATAATGAGAGCTCTCAAGAGATATTAATGAAGGTACACTATTGTGAACAAAAGGCTTAGTAGATTTGGTCACATGCTGACTTCCAACAGATTGATTTGCCAAAACATTAACACTATGAACTTCATCATAAGAACCAGTAGAGTTACCTGTTGAGGCTATAAGTGCAGAACTATTATACAGGTCTATAGAGTTAAATCTATCTAACCGAATCTCATATTTCCGTAGAAGAAATTGCACCTTCTTTAATGTGACTTTATCTATCTTAGACTCAAGCCGAGAGGTGAGATTCACAACAACTGCATCAAACTCTGGTCCCAACCCATCCAAAACAAATTGCAAAAGATCTTCATCTGACACAATAGAACCACTTGCGGACATGCTTTCAGTGATTTCTTTCATCTTCTTAATATACTCTCCAATATTAAGATTACCTTTTTGTGAGATCTGTAGTAAGTTTTTAAGATGTAGAGCTCTGGCCTTTGAGTCTGTAATGAACTCATTTTCTAAAGCTACCCAAATTTCACTCGCAAAACGACACTTAGAGACATAGCTAAACATGCACTTAGAGATCGAAGCTAAAAGCCAGCTAACAAGAAATTTATCTGTTTTCTTCCACAAAATGTAAGCAGGGTTAATCTTTTCATCAAATGAATCTTTACTTGCCTTAACTCCTTTAGACATTTCACCCAAGTTGTCATCTAATACAGAGTTGCAACTAATAACTGGTGAAGGGCAAGGAACCTTACCGAGCAAGTGGTCTTCAAGTTCATGAGACCCGACAGCAAGGAGTGCTTGTGAGCTCTAGAAACGATAATTGTTTCTGGTTAATTTTGGGTTTATAACCTATAGATTAGATGCCAGAGCTGAAGACGTGTGATTAACTGAGTTTCAAAGCAATTCTTCAATGTCATTAAACATTGACGAAGAATTGAATGTGTTTGCCATTGATGTGAGTCAAGGCTCTGATACCATGTGGATTTTGAGAGAAATGTGCGAAAAAGAAACAGATCTGAGAAAGGAATTGAGAGAAGCAAAACGGGATTTTTCTTCTTAACTGAACAACTGAAACTCTTAGGGATAATGCTTCCCTTTTATACAACTTTACTCTTTACAGAAAACGACAGTGCTTTGGCACATATTAAAAACGTTAGCACAAGCTTGAAGCGACACCGTTTATGCTTTATAACTAACACGTTGGCCTTCAGCAGCATAACTGTTCTTAACAAACAGAGAATGCATGGAGAAAGAAACGAAGCTTGGAGGAGAAACCAGCTGAGATACATGGAGATATAAGTGGAAGTGGCTATGGGAAGATGTAAAACCCCATTCCTGATTTTAGTTAGATCATGAATTGTATTTAGTTAATTAATTCTTTTTTTTAATTTGATTTTTGGTATTGTGGTAAGATAGGGGTATTTCTGTCAGTTTTTAAAGCTGCGTTAAGGGGTGAAATTGAAGAAATAAATCCTGATGGGTTTGCATGTATCAAGAGGGAAAAATTTGGACATTTTTGCTAGGGAAAGCTTATGTGGCGGGGTTAAACTGAAATTTAGAGAAATTGGGGGGCAGAAATAATTTCAGAAAAGTGTTTGTTTAAAAGGAGAAGGAAACTGGGCAGTTCACCCAAATGAAGAAGAAGAAAACGAGAGCAGAAGAAAGAAAGAAGAGAGGAGAGAAAGGAGAAAGAAAAAAAAAAAGGGGGGGAGAAGAGAAGAAAGAGTGGGTTTGGCCGAGAGATAGAGTGAGAGAGGAAGAGAAGAAAAAATAAAATAAAATAAAAAATAAGAGCAAAGAGAAAGGGAGAGGATATATTAGTTTATAAGTCTGTGAATAGCGCATCATCAAATCGTGATCTGGAGCTCATTTGCCGTCCGATCGTTCTGATTTTTGGATATGTTGTTCATGAAACACAGCTCTACATTTTGAACGGTGGAGATCGAAATCCAAGCACTATAATAGGCAGCCAATTATAGGATTAAAAGAGTGAGTGGTTTTAATAAAAACTTTCCTTAAAAATTTCAGATCTATGCTTGCATGTTAATTTCTAGTATGCCATTTTTGTATTTTGATGACGTTTGAGCTAAATGTGAAGCTTGCTTGGTTTATTTTTTTCTTTGCATGTTTTCGGACAGATTCTAGAGTGGTTGTTTTGAGTTTTAAAATGGAATGAACTTTGCTTGCTAATTAAACTTGCATGCATTTGGCTGTTTCAATAAACTGTGATGGTGGCTGGATATTTTCGGTTGCATGCACTCGGCTGGACTGCATTTTGAGAGGTGCTTGAGTTATGTATTTGGACTAAAAGTTGGTTGGTTAAATACACTTGTATGCTTCCAATTGGACTGTCTTTGAGAAAATTGTTTTCCATGGTGTTTTAAAATGCTGGGAGTTAAGGGATTTTGGTTGTTAAAATGTTAAAGAAAAGACTGGGGTTAGTAATAATTTTCTCGGTAAAAAGGGCAAATGGTGTGCTTTTCATCAGTTTTGAAAGTATATTTTAAAAACTTGCATTTTACCCCCTATTTTCCATGAAATCTCACATGTTGGCATGTCTTATCCTTATAGGAAATATTCATATATTATTATTATTATTTTGCTCTTGGGTTTAATTATAATTATACTGTGTTATATGAGTTTTGATTTTTAAAAGTGATATTTGTTTATGATTTATAAGCACATACGTAATATACTCTTGACTTACATGTTACTTGAGATTATGCATGAGATTGTTGTGATGCTAAAACCACCCTACGAAGTATCCATCCCCCAGAGATACAGATTATTGGCTCTGCCCAAGCGATGCAGGATTCCGCAGGGTATGACAGTTTCAGATTTTGGCTCTGCGCATGCGTATGACAGATTTTATTGGCTCTGCCTGGGCGTTGAGTGGTCCGCCAGGTATGACAGATTTTATTGGCTCTGCCTGGGCGTTGAGTGGTCCACCAGGTATGACAGTTTTTGAGGCTCTGCCCGCGCGATGATAGACCTTGCCGGGTATGACAGGTACGTCCCTCGCTCTGCCTGCGTGTGGGACGCCCACCAGGTATGACAGATTTTCCCCAAGGTACTAGTTGTGGTGAGAGTTTTAATAATAAATGTTGAGGTTTTATAAAGAATCCGATACAGTTAAAGGAAGTAAGTCAGAGTACAGTTTACTGAGTGTAGGATGATTAGAAATAAATTATATATTGTATGCGAGAACGGGCTGGTTGTTATATTGCATATTCATAAAATTATATTGTTGCCATGATTTGCTTGAAAATTGTTGTATGTTAGCATTATTATTTTTTTTAAAAGAACTTTTATAAACCTTCCCCTTTTCCCCACTCACTGGGTATTTCAGCTCACCCCTTTTTTTAAATGTTTTTCCCCCCACCAGGACCTTCCGGAGATCGTGCCGAGCAGTGAGCCTCCGCTCAGGGTTGTGCCACGCGTTAACATCTTTTATGTGGGTTTTATATTTATGTCGCATTGTAAATTTGGACTTTCGTTTCAAGAACTCATGTTTTCCATCATGTATTTCCTTTTGTTTCATATTTTGGAATGTGTAGTATAAGTGGAAAACCTGATACCAAAAGTTTCCTTAACTCTTTTCTTTTGTAAAACGAAAGATGATGCATGTTTTTTTTGAGATGTTGGAGATGGAAATACTATGATGTTATTCAGGAAAAGTATGTCTTTAAACAGGTTTCGCAGTTTTTCTACATGGCACGTCTCGGGTATCCGAGTCTTGTGGGAGCGCCCGGATCCTACGAGATGAGGAAATTCGGGACGGGTTGTGTCAGAAGAAGCTAGCCTAACTTCTTCCAGCTGATTAGAACTACAGGCTCTGCTATCTTGGCTTGCTTCATATAAACAGCTGGTACATTTGAGGAGAGGCGTAAAATTTAAGAGCATTTTCTGCGTTTCTTCATGCAGTGATGAAATTTGAAAAATTATTGGAAAAAATATTCAATATTCATCAAAAAGAGAAATTTAAGCAACCAATTAAAGCGCCAACTTCTTTTGAACCAACCCACTACCTACCTATATCCATAAGTTTCTTGCTGGAGCCTGATCAGCTAAAATCTTAGCTACTACAATTCATTTCATGCACATTTTCATACTTAAGCATTTGAATTAAATTGGTCCCAGCAAAGAATAATTATAATTTCCGAAATTCACAAAAGTCACACGAGCTAATTGGTCAATTAATTGACCTTACAATATGGTCTCTAACTGGGTAAGCATATAGCTTTTATTACTTCCAAGACAGAAACCTCAGAAGCACAAGTCCGAAAGGTCATTTGGGCTGTAATATTACATTACTGAATTAATTATAACTTGAATAGGCAGTAATAACCAAGAGCTAAAACGGAAGATATATTTCCTTGTTAGACTAGCTCACATGATATCCCATTTGATTGATTATTAAGAGACATACACTCTACTGCTCTGGGTCTGCTTTAGTAACGTGAGGCATCGGGCCATTAATTGGTCCCTGCAAAGAAGATAATATTAGCCACAAAAATGCAATCAAATCCATCCTTAGATTGGATTGCATGGGATGCTATCCACTTTTGTTTTGAACAATAAAGAGAAAGCCTCGTTTGTTGCATTTCTCGAGCTGTCAAGTGCTGAAAAAAACAAAAATATTAAAGTTGATGGAATAGCCGGCCATGTCAAAGTAATTCTCAATCACTTCATAATTCATATCAGTATTTCTGGTGGAGGGCCTTGAGTTAACAGAGTCCAGTATTTCTGCATTTTGTTCTTCAAAGCTTAATCTTTATTGGGTTGAAAAGTTTTGAACCACATGAGAGAGATATTTGCAACATACGCTATGAAGTGACATCTCAACTTCTGCAAGGAAGCGCCGATCAAGCATCCAGAGTGATATCTGCAACATATGGTGAAGCAATCCCCCATTCAAACATTGATGATCATATCTCAAGCTTAATTCCAGTTAATAAAAACAGAGTATTGTCATTATCAACAACTAAGCAGAATGCTACCCTGCAGAATCAGACGAGAAATAAGTGATATGTCATGTCGAGTTTTTAGGTTTTCATATTGGCCATTCTTTTCTAAATTAATCTATATTTCTCCCTCGTCGACATTTTTGTGAATCAAGAAAATTTGAAAATCTATATTTCCCATTAGCAACATTGTTTATTACTCTTTGCTGAATATTCCCCAATAAAATAGGCACATTTTCATCGCTAGTCCCACTAAATCCTAAACACACCGTCCATTATTTGAGCAAGCCACTGACTAGCACAGTCAAAAGTTTCATTTCACAACAAAATAGGCACATAATTCATGTTTAAATCTATATTTTCCAGGTTTTTAATTTGTTTTCATTTTTTAATTTAGTTTAGAATTCTTCCCAAGATTTTATTGAATCAAATGGTAATAGAATAGTTAATTTTGGTAATTGATAGTAGTAATTCTCTTGGGTTCGACATTCGTATACTTACATTTTATTACTTGCACGATTTCGTACACTTGCAAAAATCACAACACTAATGAAATAAATTGAAGTTTTTCCATTAACATTAATATTCTTTTAGCAACTTCTTTCATCCAATGTGATTAATGAAATAAATTGAAGTTTGATCACCAAGCAAAATATCATAGAAAACATTTGGAAGTACATCGATATAAGACCATTAGTTAATTGATCCCAGCACGACTCAAGGAGCCACAGCTAGCTAGTTATTACATCGATCACACCCAAATTTATTTAGCGACTATACGCACAGCCTTAATAATTGGGTAACTTTTTCCATTAATATTAATACTCTTTTAGCAAGCACGAGGACCAAACCCTACCCTTTTTCCAGCAACATCATAGTGCACCTCCATCCCTTGTTGCTGAATGTTCCCAATTAAGGCCCCATCATCTTCAGTAGGATTTGGACTAAAGGCTAAGCACACTTCTGTCAGGTCGTCTTTGAAGGGGATCACAATTCCTGTCACGTCCATCTTCAATTCAACGGCACCTTTAAAGAATATTGACATCTTTGGTATTGTAACGGTATCATACTTACTAAAATCGTAACATGTATCCAAAAAGCCACTCGGTTTCACCATCTTATATTTCGACATCTTCTTACGGAAAGCTAACTTTAGAGCCGCGTAAGCCGCTGGTGGAAGATGTGAAATGACTGTGCCCGAGTCAACAGTCCCTCCAGCTTTCTTGAAAACCTGACTGTCAATCGGTAGTTTATGTCCGCCAAGACTCAGTCCAGTTATCTCAACATCATAAGTTTCAGAGTCTGTGGTTAATGGTGTGAAGTTAATCACCTTGTTTGTGAAACTATTGGTCTTGCCAAAAGTTATATATCCAGTACTGGAGCCGAAGAAAGCAGGCAGACAATATGAGAAGTAGTTTTTGAAAAAAGAGGAAGTTTGTGATATAATAGATAATCCATTTCGATCGAGACCCATTATCCCGACCACTCCTTCATCGTCGCCAGTGAAGTTGTGTGCACAAACCATGATAAAATTCGGCCCGGTAAATTGCGATTGGTTGTCTGCTGAATCTATGACTAACTTTTCTGTTGCGTAGGAGCCAAACAGTGAAGAACCATCGACGTAATGATAACTTACGGGACAAGCTTTTTTGGAAGAGCAATTGCCTCCTACAAGGACAATAACAAAATTTCGTTGATGGAAAATATAATAAAATATAGCAAGTACTGTAGTAGTACTAACAAAATTTCAGTAAAATTACCATTAATTTGACTGCAAAATGATGAGCTACACGGAATACTCTTATATGATTTGGACTTGGATGGGTCGAATATGGGATCCACTTGCTTAGCGCAACCCTTTTTTGGGCAGGGCTTGCACTGAGTCCAGGTGATGCCGCTACCGGTGTCAATTACGAGTGAAACACTCTGTTTCGGGGTACCTAAGCCCACTTTAATAAAGTAATTGCCGCCAGTTCCAACAGTATTACCCGATATCGTAGGGATGGTAAACTCCTCTTGTGTCTTAATTGATTGGTTGCGCCTCCTGGAATGAATTAACTCAACTCGATATTGGTCTTGGAGTAGAATTTGGGAGAGAGAGGGAGTGCTTGATTTCCCTTGTGAAAGTTGAGAGCATGACCCATACTTGTTTACTACTTCTAGAGTAGTCGCTTTCCTGGAAACTGAATCACACAAACATGCGGGGTTTTAGTAAGTATCATAAGATCACATCTCAACTCAATGTAAAATAAAGAGAAATTTTTACATGTTCTCAAGTGCAAAGAGTAACTAACAGAGAGATGAGACTTATCTATTGATGGAACATATTAGTAATAGTATTATGCATGACCTGGTGGCGAACGGTTGCAAACAGTAGATGGCAATAGAGATTGGACCGAAACAATGTGGCTATCAGAGTGGTGGCTTAATTCACTCGACTGTTCAGCATAAGTGTTGCTTGATGAACAAGGAAGGCTTAAACAATGAAGCGAAACCAGGATGATAAACCTGAGGTACATGGTGGATATGGAATTTCTTTTCTTACAGCTAACTAAAACTCACACTCTTTGCTGTACCGTGGCAGTCCTTATATAAGCAACTGAAGATGAAGGCTTAATTATTGTACGAACTAGAGAGCATTTGGAATCAAAATTTATGAATTGGATAATCCATAATTAAAATTATTATCTACAAAAATTCAATCCAATCGATCATTAGATTTTAAGAATGGATTTGATTGCATCGGATCCTCCCCAATCCACTATGTTCTACATGCCGAGTTTCATGTTGCAGCCGGGCCCGGAAATACTCGAATTAAATTATTACCTTTCCCATCAAACACACGGTTGCTTAGCCTCGTGAATTGCATTTCCACTTTTGTTTTCAGAGATAAATTATAACTCAAACTAATTGATCCGATTTTTCTCAACCTGACAAGTGCTGAAAAAACAAAAATAGTGAAGTTCATTATGGAATGGCCGGCCATGTCAAAGTAATTCCCAATCACTGCACGCACGCGCGCGCGCATATATATATATATATATATATTTTTATTTTTTATTTGAGATGTCTCAGTTAATTTGTACACACCTTAACTATTCTTCTGAGACCCTAAAATTAATGGTCAAATAAACCTATAGTAGTTACTCTTTATTAGTAGTTAGAGAGATTCGAACATATAACCTCTTAAATAATACATTTAAGAGTCAAATCACTGGATTCTGACGTTGATTTTGGCCACAAACGGAGGTGAAATAATTCACTGACTTTTACGGCCAAAATAATTTTTATGGCAAAAATAAGTGTTAGAATTCAGTAATTCAACTAGATTCCAATAGATCAGAGAAGTCTGGTCTAGATTAGGCTAGAGATGGCACCTACTAATAATTAATATTATTACTATAAATTTTTAAATATTTATCAAATATTTATTAAAACACAAATTAGTATGAAGGAAAATTAAAATTTTGACTAATTACTTAGGCTTAAAATACAAAAATTAATATGAAGACTTGAAAAATTGATTAAAAAAAAAAAAAAAAAAAAGATTAAACATCCATATTAAAATTTAGGAATTGGATAATCCATAATCCAAAGTATTATCCAATCAAATCCATCCTTAGATTGGACTGCATCGGATGCTATCCACTTTTGTTTTGAACAATAAAGAGAAAGCCTCGTGTGTTGCATTTCCAGTTTTTGTTTAAAGCAATTTAGAAATGGCGTGCAGTACTGCGTCCAAGTGATGGGGCTACCATTGTCCAAAAGGAGAACATTTTGATTTGGTGTCCCCAAGTATAGTTATATAGAACTGGCTGGATATCCCTTCAAATTGAATTGGCTGAGTACCGATTGTAATGGCCTGTGTTTTCCTTAAATGGTCATAATCAGTACCGGAGTTTCTTGGCTTGAAGATTCTGGATTGAATGTATTTGACTTGGGTTCGATCTTTGCGCAGTATTTCCAAGTAATTTGTAATTTGGACCATACTTGCTTAGAAGTTAGAACCTCTAGAGAGATCTTTGTTTGGCACTGAAACAACTAAGGCATAATATTTATATGCTCTACCGTAATTTAAACGATAATTGAAAATAATTTATAGTTTTTTTTATTGATTATGAAGATCGCAAAATCATGTATTATCAATTTAACAATGTGGCTAGAGCGTTGGACTTCAGCAGCATAACTGTTCTTAACAAAACAGAGAATGCATAGAGAAAGAAACGAAGCTTGGAGGAGAAACCATCTGAGATACATGGAGATATAAGTGGAAGTGGCTGTGGGAAGAAGCTAGCCTAACTTCTTCTAGCTGATTAGAACTACAGGCTCTGCTATCTTGGCTTGCTTCATATAAACAGCTGGTACATTTGAGGAGAGCGTAAAATTTAAGAGCATTTCTGCGTTTCTTCATGCAGTGATGAAATTTTGAAAAATTATTGGAAAAAAAATTCAATATTCATCAAAAAGAGAAATTTAAGCAACCAATTAAAGCGCCAACTTCTTTTGAACCAACCCACTACCTACCTATATCCATAAGTTTCTTGCTGGAGCCTGATCAGCTAAAATCTTAGCTACTACAATTCATTTCATGCACATTTTCATACTTAAGCATTTGAATTAAATTGGTCCCAGCAAAGAATAATTATAACTTCCGAAATTCACAAAAGTCACACGAGCTAATTGGTCAATTAACTGACCTTACAATACGGTCTCTAACTGGGTAAGCATTTAGCTTTTATTACTTCCAAGACAGAAACCTCAGAAGCACAAGTCCGAAAGGTCATTTGGGCTGTAATATTACATTACTGAATTAATTATAAATTGACTAGACAGTAATAACCAAGAGCTAAAACGGAAGATAGTTTCCTTGTTAGACTAGCTCACATGATATCCCATTTGATTGATTATTAAGAGACATACACTCTACTGCTCTGGGTCTGCTTTAGTGACGTGAGGCATCGGGCCATTAATTGGTCCCAGCAAAGAAGATAATATTAGCCACAAAAATCCAATCAAATCCATCCTTAGATTGGATTGCATGGGATGCTATCCACTTTCGTTTTGAACAATAAAGAGAAAGCCTCGTTTGTTGCATTTCCACTTTTGTTTTCAGTGATAAATTACAACTCAAACTAATTGATCCAATATTTCTCGAGCTGTCAAGTGCTGAAAAAAAAAAAATAGTAGAGTTGATGGAATTGCCGGCCATGGCAAAGTAATTCGCAATCACTTCATAATTCATATCAGTATTTCTGGTGGAGGGCCTTGAGTTAACTGAGTCCAGTATTTCTGCATTGTTCTTCAAAGCTTAATCTTTATTGGGTTGTAAAGTTTTGAACCACATGAGAGAGATATTTGCAACATACGCTATGAAGTGACATCTCAACTTCTGCAAGGAAGCGCCTTTCAAGCATCCAGAGTGATATCTGCAACATATGGTGAAGCAATTCCCCATTAAAACATTGATCATATCTCAAGCTTAATTCCAGCTAATAAAAACAGGGTATTGCTGTTAGAGTCATGAAAGTGACTATTTTGATGATAAAAATACCCCATGTGTAATTAAATTGAAGTATATTGAGACAATTTATGAATTTATTCACGAAAATCGCTTCCTAATATTTTTCTTATGAATTTAACGTGTTTGGAATGATTTTGGAAAGAATATGAATTGATATTAGGTTGTTGTTTATGGATTAGGGGTGATTTTGTCTCATTTATGCTGTTTAGGGGGTAAACTGTCATATTATAAGGGTTAATTTTGTCACTTTTTAATTGTGTAGGGACCAAAGAATATTTTGCATTTTGTTGTATAAAAGAAGACAAAAAGTCGCAGATCCAGGGAGCTGTTCATCCATCTTTTCTGGCAACTCCTCAGCTCATTTCTGGTGGCCTCTGGTGATGATCCATCTCACCACTTCAACCTCCATCATCAGCCACCAAAGCCACCGCAAACCGCCATCGGAAATCACGGAAACGCCGCGACATTTCGTCTTCTACCACCATGACTTTTCGTCTACTAGGCCAGATGCTCCCTGAAGGTTGATCTCCCTTCCCCACGGCCGGATCTACACATCCCAAGCTTTAGCCATTGCGAAAACCGTCGGAATCTGCCATCTAGCCACCGCAACTCTTCATTTTCCAGCCCAGATCCTGCTCATTTTCGGCAACTTCTCACCTCCCCAAAACCTGATATGAACTCCCAATCACCAGAGCTTTCCATCGGTACCTTTGGATCCCATTTCTGCCACCGTTTTCTGGAAGACTTGTCCGAAAATTAACGTTTTCCGGCGAGTGCGGCTGTTCATATTCTGGCCTGTCCCTTGGTCATTTTCACCCCTTCTTGGCATCATATCGCTGTCGGTTACCTCCTCTCTGCCATGATCAGCTTCGTTTCCACCGTTTCAGTCTCTGTCATCACCACCATGAGCGGCTAAGTTCCCGGTTGTCTGTTACGGCATAGGCGAGATCGAGATTGACTCCACGACTCTACTCATCAACTCTCGAGTAGTTGGATGAGCCCGA